GGCCCCCGCCCCACCCGCCAGCTGCTGTGTGACGACGCAGACTGCGCCGTGTGCAACGAGGCAGCCCGGAAAGCTGAGCGGCTGGCGTACACCAAAAGGGCCGGCGCGTGGGGCCCTGCCGGGCCAGGGTCACCTCCCCCTCCCACCTCCTTGTCTGGCCACTACACACCATCCCGCATCAGCTGGGAGCCGGAGCAGAACATCGCACGGAGCCAGCAGGAGCAGTTCCTGCACAGCTGGGGGCTAGCTCGGAGCTCCTCTTCTCTCCAGCACGAGCCGCCCCTACTCGCTTGGGAGCTGAGAACTGGATCGAGCAAGCACGAGACATTTCTTCCCAGGCAGGAGGAGTACCCTGGCCCCTCTCCTGCCCAGCACGAGCCCTTCCCTCCAAGCCAAGGGGAACGTGGCTGGGGAGGTAGTTTCCTGCGCAGGGGCAGAGCAAGGAGCCCCCAGGCTGCTCCCCAGAAGCAGGCGCATCGCCCTGACTGGGTGCCGTTTCTGGCCAAGTCCCCAGGTGGGGCCAGGATGTCAGGGCGGGAGACCAAACGGCAGCGAGACCGAGAGAGCGCGGCACCCAGGGCCGCAGGGAAAGCTCTGACATCTCTGGCTGGGAGACCCCCGGTGCGGGTCAGTCCTGGAGCCCTGCGTGTGCCCGGAAGGATCGAATTGGCCGAAGCGGAGACCCCCTTCCTCCACAGCGACGTCAGGGCGAGTCTCGAGTGGCACGTCCAGGTGAAGAGGCTGCAGCACGCCCTGGGGCTGCCCTGCACCCTGCAGAGCACTTTGAAGATCTTCATGCCCCCAGCACCGAAACCCACCGCACGCAGACCCTCGGGGGCAGGCAGCGTGGTGACGATACCACAGGCCCTGCCCTTCCTGAGCGTCGGCTCCAGGACGGAGCTGGAGCGGCATCTGCAAAGGATGGTGCATCTGAAGAGATGGGGGATGCCCAGAAGGATCCAGGAGTCCTTGAGGCTGCTGATGCCAGCCACATCTCCACACCCCCGGCTCGGCCCCCGGCCATCCGGGAGATGGGCTCCAAAGGGGCCAGGCCCAGTGACGAGGGCAGCCCAGACGCCCGGCCTCAGAGCTAGAGCCTTAGCCCGGGCCTCCCAGGGCCCCGCCAGAGCGTCCGAATCCACGCCCGGCTCGCGCTGCTGCAGAGACACCCGGGAGCTGCAGGGGCACATTGCCAGGAAGGGCATGGAAATCAGACTGGGCGCGCTGCCCGCCGTGCTGAGGAGCTCTCAGAAAATGGCTACCCTGGGGCGCAGAGACCTGCTCCTGCCTAAAGTGATCCCCCCAGGCCACAAGGCCCCCCTGGCCCGTCACCGGCTCTGCCCCCTGCTCAGCTGCAAGGCGGGTAGCATGGAGCTCGATGTGAGGCACAAGCACATCCAGTACTTCAGGGCTCTCCCCACCCTGTACGCGGAGTCCCTGGCCAAGATGGAGCCCGGCCTGCCTGTGCCACACGCCCCCCTGCTGCCCCACGGCACGGCCATCGAGTTCTGCCCCCTGGAGACTCCCTTCGTGGCCCCCGAGGGCCGGGAGCTGCTGGAGAGGCATGTCCTGAGGAAGCGGCTGCAGCACGAATGGGGCCTGCCGGGCCTGGTGCGGCGATCACTGAAGTGTTTCATGCCACCCCCGCCCACGCACCCCAGGCACAAGGGGAGAGTCCGGCCGGCAGCCATGGAGCTCCGTGTCAGCAGCGGGGCCCCTCCCATCCCTCTGGCCACCAAGAGGGAC